ACGGTGCCAGAGGTGTTTCAGCATCTCTTGAGCAGATGGTGAGTGTTGGAACGGATCTTGCCTCCATTGCAAGATCGCATCAGAAGGACGACATGTCTATCGACGACTGTGTGAGTTAACTACTATCGTCAGGACACGTGGATGAGGGGTCGCCGCTCCATATGTTTGCTTTGTGGTTCCTAAGTGTCAAGGATAATTGAAATTCGTATCGTGCTGCTAAGACACCTCTCCTGCGGTTTAAATTTATTGAGTACTGCTTCGAGCGCGACAATCAGTCATTCCCACGTAAGAGGTGATCGATAGTAGACCTATTTATGCACTGTGGTCTGTATTTCTTCTGCTTATTCGTATTTCCCGTTCTTGTGTGATGGACATTTTTTTTTTCATGTACTTTTTTTGGCAGACAGATTGTCGTTGTGGATTTCAATTGAACTGTTTTTGTTATCTTCCTTTATCTAGTACGAATGTGAACTGCACAACAATTCATGCATGTTTAGGAACTGTGTGCTTTTGCAGGGAATATTTAGGAACTGTGTGCTTTTGCAGGGAATAATATTCCCTGCAAAAGCATGATAAAGTAGGTGGGAAGTTGAAATGATTGGGAGAACATTGTCCAAGGGTTCATGAGTGGTCAAGTTTTTTTAATCTATAAATTAGTTAGGAGTCTCATTCAACTGCTCAAATGTAGAGATGTTAGTAGGATGCGAAGGCTAGTATAAGAAACCCAAATAATAGTTAGCATTTCTTACGAATTTTTTTCGGGCTGCCTTCCCTTTCGAAGTCACAACCTTCATACCTTTATATCACCAATTATGAAATTGTTTTTCATGGCGGTCCACTCAGCACGTACGTACGCATTGGAAGCAACAGATGGTGACATCGAGTTTATGTCTGATTGGGATATGAGCTCTGATGAAGATGTGTTGCGGTAGTTGGAGGAGGACATAATCATGTGATTGGAGTATTGTGGAATTGTTGAGCGCATTGTGCGCGATTACTTGGCACCAAATACCGCTCGTCGGCATTCAGATCTTTCGTTCGATCCAGTAGCGTTCTCAGCATGTCCCTTCCGTAGACGTTCCTACTGTCGTCTTCCAAGTATGCACTGTCTGACACAATTGACATTAGTATCAAATAAATCAACTCAGAATTTCTGGCGTTACCGTAATAATGTTTAGCATTCGAACTAGTAAGAATGAGTAAAATTTGTTACCCTGGTTCATCTGTCGTTATGAAATCTCTAATTGTTCGGTATTTTTCCATGTCATAGTCTTCTAAAGGACGACTTGTTGATGATGAAGACTGTGCACTTCCTCTTCCTTTTCCTTTCTCTTCTCAACCTTTGAGCATGTTCGATTTGTTGAGACGTTGACGTCTCCTGTTCATGATCAATAGGATTTGGACTTGCATGGGGAGAGATATCTTGCTGCATAGAACCTATAATGGCTTCCATGTTCGATTCCCAGTTTGATAATCTGTTCTGCATATACTCAGTATGTTCGTCAATGTATGATCTCACGGAACATAAATTGGAATCCACATAACACCGTATTTGCTCTTGTTGCTGTTGAAATAATTCTTCTTGTCTTTGCAGAACTGTCTGATAATGGGCTTCTTGTGTTTGCGATTCGTGGGCCATATGACTCTGAAAGAAACCAGATAGAGAATTATCTATGTACGAATGTAAACCATGTTGCATGTAATTTTGCAACGATTTGGTCTGTTCTTTGAACAACAGCTTTTGGTTGTCAAGGATCGCGTGGTTTAGGGCTCTTGATTCTTAAACAAAGTCTGCCTTCAAGTTGCCACATAGATCGGACACATCTGATATTGTATGCTGCCTGTACATATCAAACATTTCTTCCAAACAGTCTTAAGTTACATATTTTGAGGTACCAGAAGCAGAACTAGGTCCAGCTCCAATTGAAGTTCTCGGTGTACCACCACTTGTCGCTTGCTGCGCACGGATGTGATCCGGTAATGGTTGTGCTACATTATCCAATTCTCTGTTGACAATGGCATCTAGTATACTATGTTCATTGTCAGCTGGCAGTGACAAATTTGAGTACCATGGTGTTTCTAATTCTTCTTCGGTAGGTTGCAGCACTGCAAGGACTTCGATCTGTAATCATCATAAATAATTTCGTCTCAGCAAATTTTTCAATGTCAAGTTTTACCAATCTAATGCAAACGTCATTGTACGTTGAAATTAAAAAGTCATACCTCTTTCATATTCAGAAATTCTTTAACAATCGCTTCCTTCAGTATTGTAGTAGGCCTTCACTTGTACATTCGTGGAATCTGTGCCGTTTTGTACCTACAGCGTCCAAACTTTTGCCCGATCTGTGGAAATGCTTCATATATCCAATACTGCAACAGAATTACAAGTAAATGTCGATGTATATAATATATTTTTTTTACGAAGAAATTATACGGAGTACAGAAACACTTAGAATATGAACAATATAACTGAAATACAAGTGGATAGCCTTGTATTGCATACTTACATTCTGTTTGTCGATTTTGTTGCATCCTTACTACTCGTTCCAATTGCGACTCTTTCAACGAATTTAACAAAACAAAATATGCGGTACGGCCCCATGGATACGTAAGGAACGCATTAAGATGTTCAACCATGCCCAACGTTCTATAATCAATTTGTCTTGAAGTCGATTTCAGCACACACTCCACCAACATAACTAGTCCCAACTTAAATTTATCTTCCTCGTCTTGGCACATATGGAAAGTTTCAAAAAGCATTCTATTGCTAATTTTTTTGCCCTCATTGAAGTATTGATCTCTAAGACGATCGTTATCATAGTCAATTTCAATGGATGGTTCATGACAAGGTAGTCCAATAATTAGGCAAAATTCTTGTATGCCGAACCTGGCAACATGGTCATCTAACCGTACTCAAAGTTCATTATTTTTGCCACAATGTACAATTCGTATTATAAATTCGTGTACCAACTTACTACTAAATTGTTCTTGTTGTCCCCTGAACATACCTCCGTAAACAAATCCACAAAAATTACTACACAGTAAAGAACATTGTTGATTGACATCTATGAATTCTATAAAATCTTTAATGTATTCACGATTTGGATACCGGACGATGGTAGCAGAAAATCACTGATCTGGTGAGAGAACGTATTGTAAAGATATCTGCGTAAATTACACAATAATGAATATTTTCAAACGAATATATTATTTTGTTTACGAAAACCCAATATAAAAAATAAACATAAAAGAAGTGTACAATTGATCGTAAATTATATTGTTAGATAAATCTATTTTTATTTACAAAAGCACATCCTAAAACCTGAGAACAATAAAAAGAAAAAGAAAAAAGGGAACAACATTTCTCACGGTGTGTGTCACGGAGGTGTGTGTCACGGAGATTGTACAGTTCCGTGTGTGTTACGGAGACAGTGTCTCTGTGACACACACGGAGACAGTCTCCGTGACATGGACAGCGTCTCCGTGTCACGGAGACGTAGCGACACTTCAGTAGCATTTCTGTCAAAAAAATTATGCCCCCGTGTCGCGAACAAATTTTTTTCTTCGACAACTTACTACTAAGTAGCACAAATGTTGAATAGAAATTTTGATGTGCTTACCTTTTCCAATCGAATGGTTACATTTTTAGAGTAAATGTGTGAGAAGCTTTCCATTAAATATATGTTGCCGAATGAATGTTACCAATGAGATTGTAGTTACAAAGTGTGGAGAGTGAATGAACGTGAAATGTGTGGATGGGAGAGTGAATGTGAGGATAATGAGTGATTGTGAGAAGGACTCTGTACTTAAAAGTGTGCATGCATGTGACAAGTCCTTGCAAATTGTGTGGAGAGGATTGGATGTCAGTAACAAAGTTGTTGTGTTATGAATAATTGAGTGAATGGTTTGGATGGATTCTGTATGAGAATATATTCACGTGTTGTTGTGTTGTCAATTTTTTTTACACATTCGGATATATATCAATGACTTTTTTACACATCAATATTGTGACTTGTTGTCTTGCAATAATTGGAACGTTTCGAAAAACTTTAATTTTTTTTAATTTATTAAAGCTAACGGAGTTAATCAAAACAATATCTATAGTGAATTGTAATTGCATTACAAAGATCCAAAGAACTATCACGTTTTGACCGTGTTTGTGGTGTGTCACCATGTATGCATTGACATTTCATGGTGTTCTTAAATAAAATATTATAAATAAAAATATCTCAAAATTTCAAAGTAAACGCGTTTTTCAATTTTATGTTTTGGAAAACAGTTTCTAGGAATGACAAAAATAATGTATTTTCAACAATTTCAAAACATGCACTCAAAACACAAAACTCAATGAATTCAAAACTCAAAACTAGAAAATTGAAATACAAAGAGAGCAGACCCCAAGTATTTTACAAAATTGTATTGGTTGTAGTTGGTAACATTTAAATGCATGTGTAACTGAACTGAAGAAGTGGAAGGGCAAAAATGGAAAATAAACCATTCAAATATTTGACTAAAAACATCTATTGCATGTTTCCACATGCATTGTCAGGAAAGGACTACCTTATCTGACACGAGTTGTACAAAAAGTTGAAATAATGATGATTAAAAATGGGCAAGAATTCAATTGAATGGGGGCCAAACAAGCGCATTATTTTACTGGTTATTGTACAACTGTTTATTCAAGCGACCTATTTTCGGATTATCTCTGCTTTGTTACGGCGTCTACTGTCCAGAACAGAGATCTTTAAAAATAGAGGAAGACAAAGTTCAACTTGGATATTTATGACTTCGTTTACATATTGATATAAAGTAATTAGAAACTTCTTTTAGTATTTTCCTCAACTGTACTAAACTGATGCACTTCTTAAATTTATTAATTATTTGTTTTTAATTTACTTTACTTCTATACATATTCAAGATTCAAAATGGACATGTGACCTGGGTTGGCTATTGAAATTGCACTTCATTTGACCTAGTTTTTTCTCCATTATGTTTTATAGGAATGACAGGAGCTATATATATCAAGGGAATTGCTGTTACTAAATATAAGCGGTAAGTGATGTTGCTCTTTTGAACAGACAGTATAGCTCTTCCTTGCATTAAAGTGACATTTTACTAACAAAGTAGGTTGGGGCATTAGTTTTATTTGATGTTGCATGATTGCAATGGCTAGTATTGCAATTAAACAAATAATTGATTTTGAAATCTGAAGTCCTCATGCATATCCTTGAAGTCTTGATATCTTCTCAAATAGTGTTATTTATCTTCTTTGCAATCTTCTCATTGGGTAATTTCATCTTTGTGTATTAAAATTGAACTTTTCCTTTGCTCCCAGAAGTCTTTCGACTCTTTTATGGCCTTTTGACCTTAGGTACTTTGGTTCCTGGGGACCTGAGGTGCACATGGGGATCAAGGGGTATATGTGGTTTAATTCTGTTTCGATGGTTATTATTTTGAATTTCTACATAGTGGTTCTCTCGTCCATAAACATATAGAATATAGATCCTTCAATTCAGCTGCATGAATCTGTGTCTGATCATGGGAAAACTGTCAATCACTTGCTTCAATATTTGTGAATGAGTATATTGTTGTAACGAATAGAGAATGCATGGTGAAGGACAACATCACACAGTTTCTTTCACCATCGAGAAATTCAATTATGTTTAGTGATAATAACAATGTACTTTTGCTGCTTGCAGGTCTGCCGTGAAGGATACGGATGAGTGGCCTTCCAAGTATTCCAAGTTATTTATTGAAGTGAGCATTCTTTATCTACAGTATAATTACATTTTAAATGCCCTCATGATACAGTTGACCATTACTTGTTCTAGATCGCTGTATTTGTGAAATTTATTAGTGTGCTTGTGTATATATACAAGTATATGTTATATATGTATGCAGTATATACCCAGTTACATGCATATTTATAACAGTTAATTATGTCTATTGTGTCTGACCTGTTGTTATAGGTGCTATTACATCACTTGATATCATATATGTTTAAACTCTTGGAAGAAACTTACATGGATACTTCCTTAGTTTAGATGCACTTATTGACAGTGCTTCTAAAGGTGTTGATTTCTCAATTGCTGTGCAGTTAGATGATGGGTTGGAGTTTTCATTCACGGATAAGAGGCGCTTTGCTAAAGTTCGCTTGCTTGACAATGTAATGGCAAAATTATTTATATGACCAGTGTCTTTTTAAAGCCTTTTTGCTTGGAAAGTGATTTTCGCGATGCTCTTGTAATAATTCAATTTTTACAGCCTGTTTCTGTGCCCCCAATATCTGAGCTTGGTCCTGATGCGTTGTTGGAACCTATGACTGTAGATGAGTTCTACAACTCCTTGAGCAAGAAGAAGATTGGAATCAAGGCTCTTTTACTGGACCAGGTTTGCCCTTGTGTTCACCGGGAGGGAAGATTAAGCCCTTGTTTGAGCCCCATTTTTGGTTGAAAATGTATTTTGGAATAGTGATTTTTTGAAAAATGTGTGGTCAAAAAATAAGGAAAAATTTTCGATTTACGTGTAATATTATTTTATTGAAGAATGTGTGGTTGAACAAAAGAAAGGGAAAAATGTATTTTGATAAAAATGGTGCTCAAACAAGGGCTAAGTATTTTTCTTAACAGTTATTGTTCTAGGAGTATCTCTATGCATTTGTGCAGTAGAATCATCTTAAAAATTTATGCAATACAAGCACACATTTATAATATAATACTTCAAAGTTAATGCATGTTCACAAGTATTTTTTTAATATTTTTTGGTCCAAAAATACCAATACTATGAAATAGTAACTCATGCTAATGATAGATGTTAGCATCTTTGTTAACTAGATTACATTATTTTATCTTCCATGTGCAAAACTTGAGGCCGAACCAACCTGATCAAAAATCAGCACGTCCCTAATTTTTGAGATCAAACCAACCTACCATCTTAATAGTGTTATATATTAGAACATACAAGCAGATCAGATTTCTACCTGGAATTAACGTACCGGTAAAAAAGCACAGAACAGTCTTCTAAACCAACAAAATTAATTATAAGAGGGTTAATGTTACTAACAGCAAATTGGGAGTGAATATTGAAGAAGCCTAGGATTGGAGGTTCTAAGAGAGTTAAATGCTTTGTTTGAGTGAAGAAACTGGAGAAAGTGTCAATGAGGTCTTGGTCTAGTTATGAGGAAGACCCAAGCCAAGGACAGCATAAAGCTAGAATGCAGCTCTCCCAACAAAGCAATACAAATTTTAAAACCAGAAATTACTGGTTCAAGAGTGGGCTGTTGGAAGGTAGTGCAGCCTATAAATCACATGCTACTATGCTAGTTCTTTGACATTTCAATTTTGGTGATTGATGGGTGGGAGAAGATTGTTGTGTGGGGGGGGGGGGGGGGGGTTTTAATATTGGGAACAAGTTTGCATCAGTATTTCATAGAAATCTGAAACCATGTTTTAGTCCAACCTCAGATAGGATTGGTGGGTTTTTACAGGGGGCCAGTCAACAAATATTGGCTCCAAAAATTGTCATTTGGACAAGAAATCATGTCTAGTGTGAGTAACCTGGGTAGCTGATCTAGTTGAGAAGTTGTTTATGACGTTCTAGACAGCTTGTGTGCTAAATCTGATGTTGGGTCTTCTTGTTTGAAACTATAAGTTTGGCACTGAAAGTCGCCAGTCAAATTATACAAAATGAATTTTTATTGTGACTAACCTCTAAGGCCAATAGGCTAGGCATTACGAGTTTGAAGTCTTTCTTGAAGTTCTTTCTTTGTTAGTACAGCTGTAAAAGACCACTGTTCTTCAATTAAAACGTGGCCAATTATGTTTACTTGACATTTGAGTGACTTCATAATGTTTGTGTTCGTTGTTTGATGGGTGTTTGATTGGACATGTTACCGTTAAATGAATGGAGAAGAATTACTACAGAAAGTTGTCAATTTTCAGAGGTACTAATTTATTAACATATATTTGTGGCATCGTTTCTGTTTAAAGAATATAGTTTGTATCCCATGCAGATGAAGTTTTTGTAGGATAACGTGTCTCAATGTTGTTCGTGTTTATAGTGCTTGGACTTCTAGCAAAATGACAAGTTGGAAATTTTAAGAGAATATCTGGGTGGCTTAGCTAAAAATTAAGCTCCAAATGTGTGACTTGTTTTTGGTGTGATCCCACTTAAATTCAAATATGCCACAGATTTGGTGCTTATTTTTAAGCATAAGCCACCTCAAACATGCTCTAAATGCAGTTTTGATGGTTTCCCATTTGTATAAACAAGCTTCTTGTCTTGATTAAGATTTGTTGAAATGCTGGTTTGTTTTCTTCAGTAGTTTTGATTTTTTAGACTACTATTTTCTTTGTGCAGAGTTTTATCTCAGGCATTGGCAATTGGATGGCTGATGAAGTACTATATCAAGTGAGTATGCTTTACTCACCACCCCTTATCATCTATTTCCTTTGCGAGAGAAATATGGTTATTACCATTCCTTGTTAAATTCATCAGAACTGATTGTCTAGTTGTTGTTGATTTTATTTATCCTGTTAAGTCAGCATACAGATCGTGAAAAAGTAATAGTGGACCTTAGAGTTCAGGCATCGATCATACAAGGAATAAGTATCTAGTCTAGTTGTCAATTAACCTACTCTAATTGAATATGAACACACAATAGATAAATGAGATGGATAGTTTATATTAACAACCTAAATTGTCTTACTAATCTTACTAATTGGTTGGAAGCATTTGTGAAAATTAATCGAACAAACACTATAACCCCATATACCTTTACATTCTTCCATCTTAATATCAATTTCATAATTTGACAACACTTGTTTGAGTATGAAGATCAATATTCTTATCTTATCTAGTAATCTTTTTCGAGTAGGATTAGATCTATTCCCATATTTTGAGTCGATAATATACATATCATAAATGCGAATATATAAAGTTGCATTAAATTAAAAGAACATCTATTTGGACAATGCAAAGCATAAACAATTATCCCTAACGTGTATATGACCTTACAATGATTGCTACTTGTGCTAAATTCTTATTCCTTCTTCCAAATGTCAATAAAAATCATACATCAATTCAATAAGTGAGCGATTAATACATTAAACTCTAACATGGATTAAAACCATACCAACATCTGGTGTCAAAATAAAGAATTTAATATATAGACTTCAAAATATATGGTTCTAAAAATTTTCCTTGCATCTATACAACTAGTCGGAATCATAATAATACAATAACACCAATTAAATGGGTACAACATCACCCGAATTCGAAGTATAGGAAGAAAGATGGAAAAGAGTCTTGATCTTAGATTCTTTCAGGAGTTCTTGATTTCTCTCCTTTGATGATCTTCTTCTTCAAACCCAAACTATAATGGATGAAAAGATACGGATTTGGTGAATGGCATCAAAAACTTCATCAAAGCTTTGTAAAGATTTGGTGAACACTCAATATATGTTGACCTCCAATGGCTCTTTTCTTTTTAATGATTGTATATCTTTATGTACTAGAGCATCCAAGCTTCTTTCCGCTTTAAATTGTTGATGAAGAGTTGTATTTATAGGACAAGGATTAAGTCAAAATTTATGTTATTAATTGCTTTCCAAGAAGAGGTTGGATCAAAATAGGAAACAAAATAATTTTTGCCTTGTATAACCATACTTACCATGGCTATAAGCCAAAACATTCTAGTCATTAATATATTGCTATCACATAAATTATAAGCCTCGGATTGCAAGGCTTTATTTTTCCTCTTATAGATTCATTCAAGTTGGTCTCCGAATCAACATTTTTCATGCGGCCTTAGTCCTTTCTTCAAGCTTATGTCCAACTTCGATCATTTTTATCCTAAAACTCCAATTTTGACGTCGAAACTACCAGCATATTCAAGATTGGTCTCGAACATTCATAATCATTCAAAATTGGTCCTCAAGTTTCACAAGTTTGCAATTTAGTCTCCAAATTTTTCGGGTCTCGAACATTCATAATCATTCAAAATTGGTCCTCAAGTTTCACAAGTTTGCAATTTAGTCTCCAAATTTTTCGAAAGTTGAGTTTGAACTCCCAAACTTGTGAATCATCTCTGATTGCTCCATTATTGCTTCTAATTGATCAAATGCAATCCGTTTGATCATTAATTTCTTCGAATCAACTCCAATATAGCTTCAAAAATGCCCTTTTTCATGCCAATTGCATCCAAGTGCATTTAAGTCGGGGTTTTACCTACAATTAACATAGTCAAGTACAGAAGCCCAAGTAAGTGTATAAACTACACTTATCACTAGTTGCTGAATTTTTCTCATGTGGTTAGAAACTGTATGACTATTCTTTCCATACAGCTATTGGACTATGCATGCCTGAGTTGCCTGATTTACTCGCATCCATTTCTATCTTCAATTATCTCAGTATATCATAGTTTGATCTAATAAAGTTATACGGTAAAACTTTATTAAACTGTCTGTGGTTTAACAGGCTAGGATCCATCCTCTGGAAACTGCTTCCAGTTTGTCCAAAGAAAGCTGTGTAACGTTGCTCAAGTGCATTAATGAGGTGTGTAATTATGTTTTAATGTGAACTACTGGCTTCATTCATATCATCTTCAATGAAGCGTACATTCCATATGGCTATTACTAGAGGTCGTACTTTTAGGTTACAAAGTTTGCAGTTAAAGTTGATGCTGACTGCAGCCGCTTCCCTGTTGAATGGATGTTTCATTTTCGGTGGGGCAAAAGGCCTGGAAAAGTTAATGGTAAGATTTTTTTGACACATATAATCATTTTGATGTTAATTGTTTTCTTACAGGTAATTGAAGAGGCCGTTGAGGTTGGGGCAGATAGTAGTCAGTTCCCCAGTAATTGGATTTTCCATTCCCGGGAAAAGAAGCCTGGAAAGGCTTTTGTTGATGGTTTGGCTCCTGACCTGCACGATATTCTTTCACGTGGTGGTGTTATTTTTCACGTGCTTAATGCTATTTGCTTTAGTGAACTTGGATGATTATACCAAACACAAGGAATCATATCTTGAAACCCGCTAATAGTTTCTAGCTGTAGATTTATATGTTGTTTCTTTTATTGATTCATGCTTTTCGGTAATCTGCCTCTTTCATTTCATAGGGCTTATTCATTGTCGTCCACATTTCCTGTTCTAGTTTCAAATTAAATTATTATATATAAGACAATTCGTAAATTCATAAAATTGATCATCCAATGGAAGCTAGACTGTTAAACGAAGCACATGCTTTAGTTCTTCACGGAGGAAGAAATAAAACATACAAGTCCTCTTAGTTTGCCAGCTGTATTCTTCAAATTTGAGAGTTTTCAGCTGCTTTTTATTAAATTCTCACAAACCAAATTTCATGTCAGGGAAGAAGATTGAATTTATCACTGCTGGTGGCCGAGTACGTCTCTCTTTAATGTGCATTGATCTATGTATTCACTTTTGTTGTAATGTACCTGAAGTTTGTGTTTTTTCCTCCCCAGACGTCGGCCTATGTACCAGAATTGCAAAAGCTGAGTGGTAATCAAGCTAGGAAAGTAGTGGTTGAATCATCCAACAACATTGAAGAATCAAGCAACGAGGAAGCGACTGATTCTAGGAAATCAAAAGTCCCAAGAGGAAGAAAGGCTACGGTTAAGAAACCTTCCTCGAAGAGAAAGTCCAAGGAAAGTAATGGTGAAAGCAACAGTGATGACGATGATGATAAAAGTTTAAGGAAGGAACCCCCTTCAAGAGGCAAATCCAAGGGAAGGAACGAAAATGATGACCAGAAGAAGAAATCTAAAGGAAAGAAAACTCCCACGAAGAGAATTTTCGAGGAAAGTGACGATGAGGATGATGTAGATAATGCTAGTGGGAGTGGCGATGATGATGAAGAGGATCACAAGGTGATGTCCAAGAAACGAGGAAAGGCTGGGTCACTATCGAAGGGTAAGGTTGGATCAGGTCGAAACGGGAGGCAGCAGAAGAGAGTGGCAAAATAGTTTCGACTGCGGAATATTACATTGCAGTAGTTCGCTCTCTTTTGTGTTTTGGAAAGAATGGAAACAAGTTTAGGTAAGCATCGGGCGCTAGCAGTACTTGCGATTTGCTGATTTTCTATGAATTTGGGGCGTAAGTTAATCCTCCTTTTTAAGTGTTATGTGGATGTTTCTGTAAGTACTTTTGGCTCAAAACTTTGCATAATTTTCGTCTGAGTGTGTGCCAATGTCCTTCGTTGTTATTTTTGTATGGCAACATGGAATCATTACACATTTTACGACTGAAGATGGTATTTACCAGTTAAGTAATACTATTTGTACATCATTGTATATATAATGGTATACAGATAGATGATATGGGAGAGAGAGAAATCCAATTATTATGATATTCCTCTTTCATGTCATTTATTTGTAACTATTATGTATACAATGATGTACAATTAATATTATTCTGAACAGTTTTGTCATTTTTGGGTCGGCATGGGCTGTAGTTGGTTCAACTCTTTTGTAGACTCTCGTGCTATAGTTGAGTGTTTTTTTTTTTTTTTTAACCAAAAATAAAATAAAAAATGTTGATCCCAGTTGCTCGGTTGCTGTTTGGTGCCATGACTCACATGTAATAGGCTCAAAATCATATTTCTTTTGGTTGGATTATTAACAGCTTGAATTATAAGGTGCTTCAAACAAATTAATATTTTCGACTACTGAGAAACCTCGAACTATTCTTTAGAAAGAATGTATAAGAAATAATTAACAGAAGTCTTCCATATTAGTTTTTTTTTATCAAGAAATAATTATCTATAATTTGATTAATAAAATGGATTAGCATGTAAACCCTCCAGTTTATCTTTATTAATTATGGTCAATTTTACAAATCGAAGTTATTCTACAACAAACAATAGTGAAAATATCCGCAACAGTAATTATTTCATAAACAAAAACTTGATAACTCTGAAAAAATATTTGAATACGGGACTCAATGCTAAAAACAAGTGTAAACCCATCTAATTCAAAAAATTCCTACTATAATCAGTACTAAATCATGCCCAAAACAGTAAAATTTCATGTCTATCTCTCGTGCATATTATCTTCTATTCCTTAGTGACAATACTTGAACTTGAACCGCTGCTGCTATAGCCATTGCCATCAGCGTTGCTATTGCTTGCATCATCACCATTTGTGACCTTTTTTGCCGCTTTCTTGATGTTGAAAGCCAAATGAATTTGGGAATTTTGGCGATATCCCCATAGTTGAATCCAATCACCTTTTTCCAAATTGTTTGCTTTCACCAATTTACTCCAATCTTTTTTAAGCACAACCATTTTCAAAGTACCACACCTCCTCATATGCAACGTATAGTATTTACCTTCCGGATCAATTGTTACAATCTTGACATTGCCTTGGTTAACTTCTACTTATTGTAATACCAGTAGGCATTCGGGTTTCTTCAGTTCAACTAGGCCCGTAGTTCCGACGGGTTCTCTGTCCCTGTGGGGATGAACGACAGAAGTTTTCTTGCTCCGCTAGTGTCAAGAATTCCATTAGTTTTTCCTCTGCTGTGAGAAAGAAAAATCCGGTTTTGATCAAACTTGGTATCAGAATCTGTGAGCCGTTTTTGGTACAAGAAGGTTGGCACGGTCCCTCCATTCAACCATATTTCTTGAAAGATTTCAGGAAATGGCTTTGGCTCATCTTGTACGATATTGCTCTTCAACTCTCTTTTTTCTGGGGCTTTCTTTTGCTTGAACAAGGAACCATAGCGAGAGGTTGCAGCATTAATGGTGGTTGTTGATCATGAAGAAGAAGATCTTCAAAGAGGCTAAGTGGAATGATATTCTTCTTCTTCTTCATTGGAAACACTTTAGGAAGAGGAAGATCAAGATCTTCATCATCAAATAGATCGAAAGAAGCTCTCTTCTTCATTGTAGACAAGAATGGAATTTCTATATGTATCTATTTCTTGTTTGCAGTAAATTCTTTGTGCAGAACTGAATAGGGGTATGTTCATTCTTATAACTAACTTACTATGCCTACATGTGGTTCAGCTAAACAACTATATTTTAATTTAAGTCAAAATCAACAATTAATTTTAATCACATATTTTTGGGATCTACATGTTTTTCAATCACATTTCATTAATTTTTTCAAAATCTGCTAAAATTCTAATTTTTATCTAAATCAAATTACCGAATTTTATTACATGTTCTATATATAAGAAAAAATAACTTCATAATAATTCGAAATTGGTCCATCTCAAGTTCCAAAAGTATACAATTTAGTCCCAAAATATTTCAAATGTTGAATTTCACCCAAAAACTTGCGAATTCTTCCAATATCCCACTTTTTACTTTTAGTCACTCTGTGCCATCAGACCAATCTTTAAATTCTTCGAACCAACTCCTAATTAGCTCAAAATCGCCCCTTTTACACCAATAGTATCCATTTCCGAGTTTTTCTACAATTAACATAATAATAATGTACCGGTTTGCAAACTTCTCCAATATCAGTTATATGAACACTGGAAATTAAAGCATCTTTACAATTCCGGTTAGTATATTGGGCTAGAAAATGGTTGGCTGCCACTACAATAGCTCTTCGTATTAATGTGCCAATTTGTGAAAGTGTTAAACACTCTAATGACACAAGTTTACACCTTTGCAGCAATTATGTTTCATAAAGCTTCTTTGTCTTCGTCTGAGCGTGTGCCAATTTCTTTCGACGTTATTTTTGTATGGCAACATGGAATCATTACACATGTTACGACTCAAGATGGTATTTACCAATTAAGTAATGCTATTTGCACATCAGGGGGGGGGGGGGGGGGGGGGGGGGAAGAGAAATTCAATTATTATAATATTTCTCTTTTTCATGTCATTTATTTGTAACGATTATGCATACAATGATGTACAATTAACATTATTCTGAATGGTTTGGTCATTTTTGGGCCAACATGGGCTGTGTCGTTGGTTAAACTCTTTTGTAGACTTTTGTGATAGAGTTGATTTATTATTATTATTATTAATTTAAAAATTTTAACTAAAAGTAAAATAAAAACTGTTGATCCCAATTGCACGATTGCCGGTTGGTGCCATGACGCACATGTAATAGGCTCAAAATCATGTTTCTTTTGGTTGGATTACTAACATGTTTGGCTTGACTTATAAGGTTCTTCAAACAAATTAATATTTTCGACTACTGCGAAACCTCTAACTATTCTTTAGAAAGAATGTACGACTTGTGATCTCTTATTGTATCAATTTTCATGATTTTCGCCCACCTCAAACAATTTTTACAAGAGTAAACTGTTCGTATCCCAAATATATTTCATCACATCCAACTATAAATTTTCATTTATAAATAATTTAAAAAATAAATATTTTGATAAACATAGTCAGGATTGAAAAATAATTCAAAAATTTTACTTGTTCATGTTTATATTTGTTATATACCACTTTGTTATTGTCACTTCTTATTTTATATTTCATTCACCTCTTTAAAGATGAGTTTCACATACTGTATTCACATGCTATTGAAGACTTCGGACCTGAAGAATATTAAAACTTGTGCACATTGTGTGTCACAATTTAAATTTGTGGATGAGATAAATTCAACATGGTATGACGAACATACAAATATTCAAGTGTCACAAACTTGAATGTTTCAAAACCAGTTTCCTTGGACTAGTAAAATTTCATTTATCTTTTGAAAAATGTCGCTTCCTTCTTGCATTTTCAGAATTATAACGATAACATACATATACAATTGTACTCAAAGCTCAGAATCTACCTTCAAAAAGATTAGCCTTTGAGCTGATCATCAATGTATATATCCATTTTGTGCATCAGAAAAAATATCTCATGGCGTCGACTACTTTCTCCGGCCTGTAAAGTTAGAATGGTAATAGGAAGTAGAAAAAATAACGGTAAATAAACGTCAATAGTTTTCAGTAGTTATATTACCAGTCCTCCTGAGGCATATGACCGGCGCCTTCAATCAGCTTGAGCTTTACCAAATTGGGATTCCCTTTTTGAAATTCTTCTGCCACGGATTGGGGAAGATACTTGTCTGATATTCCCCAAGCAACTAATATTGGCTTATCCCAGCTGAAGCCAGTTGGACAAGTTTCCATCGTTCAGGAACAGAAGATCATGGCGTTAGCAGCATTTAAAGACAGTCAACAGTTAAATTAATCTAAATTGAACGAACTGATGTCATTCGACTAAATGTAATCATCATAATCACTAAGGTAAAATGGTAAATGTGCTTAAGATCACTAGGATCATGACCTGCAGATCTGACTACCTATTAAGAGCATATATGTTTAAGCTTAAATGTAAGTAGAAGTACTTTTTAAGTAAATTAGTGTTTTCAAACTTTTTTTCCGATAAGTTAATTTTTTTCACTTCTATGTAAAAGAAATTACTCGATTATTTCCAAATTTGACCAACAAAACAAGATATTTATCTTAAAAATTACTTATTTACATAGAAGTGGACTTTCTAAACTTAGCCGAACTTATCTACTAATTTGTAATTTTTTAAGGCAGAGTAAAAATGGAAGCCTATAAACTGTCTTATACAATTACTAGTATCTATACAAATATTATAACTTTCTCTTCATGGTCTAGTTTTATTTCACATTCTATGGCAATTTCACCAACATTGCAAGTCTAAGTTGGTTTCTATTCATATAAACACTTTAAGATATCAATCCATGCTCATGCTCGTTCTCAGAAATCTTGCACGAGAAAAATATAGATGAAATGCAAGTTGAAGACAACTAATCGACTAATTGGTTGCCATTCCAAAATTCAAGGAAACAAGTAGCTATGTAGACATGGAAAAAAGTGACAAAATACTTGATTGGTACAGTCAAGTGTTACTATATCGATGTGGCAATTTTCTTAGAACTGCTCGCAGTTAACTTACAACCAAAAATAATCACAATGTCAAGTTACATGTATTCCTCAATAAATTAAGAAAAGAAAACTAAGCATTTGTATTTCTTCTATCTAGTCTAATCTAAATCTTTAATCCTTCTACTATTGGGGGTCCAAATCAACCACAAAAGGCAGAAACAGAAAATTTTGACTAGTGCACCATTCATTTAGCCAAGTTTCTATCTGAGATTTCTTTAAATACAATTTTCCTTTTCATACAAAGTAAATTAGAGTCAGTTGCCATTAGTGTCACCTAAGCAAGCCTTCATATAAATACCCTATAGAATTCATCATTGTATAATTCAATCAAATTCCTCTGCCAATCCACTCTGGCATTAACATAAACGCATACGAATTAACAATAGATTCTACTGTGACATGGTCATTTATGTAATACAGTACCTTCCAGTTGCAAACCCAGCTGAGATTCGACTTTTAATATCATTGAAGTTAGCTTTTTTTGTAGCCTCAAGCAGAGCTGAAACACCAACAAAGCATCAGTTACATTGTTATTTATGCATGCATGTATAAAATGGAGTTCAATTATCTTTTGAATCAACTGTCGATCCTATATAATTAAGAAAAGCCACAGCCCTAAAAGAAGGAATACGTCAATAATCAACCCGAAGGCTTTACCTATTTCTTTGAATCGAATATAATCATTTCTATGTCAATGGACAAACTGACTAAGTATTACTTTCAGACACTTTAGTTGATATCAGTCTAGAACTGGTGATCATTCAAGTTCAGTTGATTAACTAGGTCATTATGAGCACAGGGTTCAAAAGAGGAGTTGAGAAAATCAAAATTCTCCAATTGCATTAAAAAAACTTTTATATATGGGGAAAAAAAACACCAACAGCACGAAAAGAACCCTTTATAAATTATAATTGAACTTCAAAACCTGAAAGCAGAACCTTGATGTAAGACTATAGTCATAGAGCATTCTTACTACCATGCCTACTAAACTTGTTCTCATGACTTCATCACTAAATACATTTTCAATAATATTGTATTGACATATCTTCGATATGCTTCGTCTTTCTAGGCATCCTATTATATGCTCTTTTCAATATCAATAAAAATCATAAGAAAATCTTGTTTCTTTTCTATATACTTGTTAATCAATTTCTGAGGTAGGTGAATGACTTCCATAGTAGATATGCTTGGCAAAAAACAAAACTGATTCTTTATTAACTTTGACTTCTTAACATATACTCAATGACCCTCTCCCATAATGTCATGGTATGATTCTGGAGCTTAATAGCTACATACTTTGTGGAGTTACAAAGTTGGAATGATACTCTCAAAATTTGGTTGCAGTGAAATCTCTGTCTATTTCCATTAATATATTTTAATAAAAATTACAGCACCAATGATATTTTATCTAATGCACATTTGATTACAGTGATAGATTCCAATCTGGTTCACTTGGTTGCTGCCACATCATTGTTAGTCTAGAAGGTTCAATAGTTAGTTAGTAGGGTCAAAAATGTAATAAATCAAGTAGTTATGGTCAAGGGATTGCTTATAAATGTGATGGGGAGGGAACTAGAAAGGCATCAGAAAATAGTTGAGTAATGTGAGGAGAATCAAGCCTCTCGAAGAGCCTGGTAGTATCTTGTATTCCATTCACTGTCATTTGTTAAATTCCAGTGTCTTTCATCTTTTTTAATCAATAAACTATATAAATTCCATTACATATAATCTCTGTCATCTTCTAGTTATCTCCAGTTGAGGTAATATAAGCTAATATTGATTGGATAACAGCTTCTCGAGGTATTCAGTCCAGCAGCAACTTCAGTATTCAATCCTAGAAAATCTCAGCAATTGCAGGATCCTATCATATAGTTTCTACAATATGGCATTGTTGACAGCATCACTAATTATCATAGAATGAATAGCTACCACCGTTTTGTCTCTCCATTTTCACAAATAGGCAATGATCCCATAAAGTAGCAACAAACTCGCACATCTATCACAATCCCAGCTGAAGAAAATTAGTTATCAAACAACTAAATAATTTCTAGAATTATTGATTAAATTTGTTCTGTAGACAAATATCATATGGTTGGGACTATCATTTTTTTGGTTGCAAACTTAATGCTAATTTGAGGAAATTGTGATCTTGTACAAAGGTTTTTTAGGAATATATGCATTTCTAAGCTTGCTTTTTTCGATTATGAAGTTAGAAATCTATGTTAAGCTCTTTCCACCAACAGTTGATAATATGCGTAAAACTAGGACTTGTTGCATAGATCATGCGCGTGTGATGAGAATTGGAATTTTATAAAAACTTAACAATATCATCTAAAAATAAATAAATTCAATCATCATTCTAAGATCAGAGAGGAAGACAAACCAAATCCTGGTCCACTGCCTGACAAATATGGTAATCGATATACATCTGCCTTTTCCAGTTTCAGGACATAGCTGTCATGTAAAAAGTAGTTTTGTTAGAGAACAAACTGGAAATTAATGAAATTTTCCAATTTAAAATGACTAACTAATTATAATGAACACTGGTTTTCCTTGGACTTCTCTGCATACGTTTAAAAAGAGAAGAAATACAGGTAACTATCAATACTTTAAAATGTCAAGGCTGGAATGAGTAAATTAGCTTCAGATGCATGGAAATATTTGATTTAAAGCTAGTGATAGTGAAATTTATTTTGAAAAATGATTGTAACCAAATGTTTGGCAAGAATTTAGGGGAAAAAAAATAAAAATATGCTGCTCCCTTCTCCTGTTTGAACTTTCAATGCACAAAGAAATAGAGACAAAGAAAATCCAGGTAACTTGAATAATTGAAAGTAGTGGGCTTTTGAAGCATATAGTGCATTTCTTGATACATACGGGCTACCTGCTTCAATAAAACGCTCTGCCATAATTGCATTCTGGCAAGTGAACTCACCAAGAAACGGAATCCTGGATGTAAACAGAGGCAAGATAAAAGAAAATGTTAGTAAATTACAATTCTCTGTTGCTTTGTGTTTTCGGTTATACTTTCTCCAAGGGGTATTCTCCACTTGAAGGTTGATCTTGTTCTTGATATTAAATAAATTGATCATTGAATTGTTAACATTACTAAATGAAGAAGAAAATGGAAGGCCTGTCTCCAGACATATATACTTAGCATTTCTAGTTCCACTTTTACGAATATGCAATTTTAATATCCTTTATATCTAATTGAACTATATTCATCCTAATTCTTGTATCTTACAAGAAAACATAATGCTATTCCAAGTACCGAGGAAAAAAAATTCTCAAATAGCAAATTCATAGGTTCAGTTATTTAAATTACAATCTTATAATCTATTTTTATCTCTTAATTAGAATCTTATCCTGTAATATATCTCTTTAGGATGTTTGAGTAAATAGTAACGACATTGGCAGAAAATAGTTGAGTTCAAGTTCATAAATTATATATTTAAAGGAGAAGGAGAGCGTTCTCTCTTTCCATTGTTGTGGGTGACTTGTAAAGAAATTAACTACTAAACTTTTCCTATTTCTAATTTAGTTTGAGAATATAAAATAGGCACGCATAACAACTTGAAATTCATTATATCAGAAAGTAGTTTGTTAGTTGCACAGAGAGTGATCACTTAAGTAATAACTAATGGCAATTTCTTAGTAGATGTGAAATGAAACAAACCTGAGATTATTAAATAGTCCAGGGAGGGGAGATGAGACTGTCAATTGGGTGTTCATAATTCCAAGCTTTGAAATTCTGCTCGGGTTATTCAACGCCCAAGTTAATCCATATGATCCTACAAGAAATCCCTGCAAAAAGAAAAATGGAAAAATGAAATTCTAGTATAAGATTTGTAAGTGGAATGTGTTTATGAACAAAGTTTCAAAAAGTTAAAATATATTTGCAATTTGAGAAAGCAAGATAAGATCTTTAGGTATTAAATTTATATTCTAATTAAAATATGGACTGCTCACATATTCATCACAAACTACTGAGAAATCTTCATCTTGATCAATTTAGTTCAAACCTGAACTACTAGGAAGAAAGGAGAAGCAACGCCTAAGACATCCAGTAATTTGTCAAGAGCTTCATGAAACTCTTTCTCTGTCAAATGAAATTTTTAAAAGTCAGTCTGTTGATAAACCCACACAAAACTTTTTAATGTGAACATGTATTTTGAATACATCACAGAAAAGTGACCAACCGGTGTAGTCAAATCCATATCCAGCCTGTGGCTTGTCACTAAACCCAAATCCTATCCAATCAGGAGCAAAACAGTGGAACCCAGCATCGGCCATCTATGAGAAATAAAAGAAAGAATAAGAAACGGCGATTAAAAAATTCACTAAGGAATATTACAGTTGGTTGATCTTGAACCAGTTGTAGTACTACTTAGGATCTGATAAGAATGTATAAATATCTTTCCCTTCTTTAAATCACCTAGACTATTTTTCCCCATCCTCACTAGTATTTCTATAGTTTATAACATAATTAGCATATTTATTTTTAATTCTGTTAAGGCAACTCATTTATTCAATTTACATATTTAGATAGTACAGCTAATCATGTACAAAACTGATGAGCTTTAGAAAGATTAGAAGCGAAAAGAAGAGAATAAAACTGAAATATGAAAAGGATAAAAAGACCACATTGGATCAATCCAAAGTTCCTAGCTAAAAATGAAGGATGAAACCTGAGACATAACAACTCGATAACTGTAGGACTGCGTTGGAGCACCATGGAGAAAGACAATCGTTCCACGTCGGCTCTCAGTCGATCCTGCAAAGGAAAGATTAATTCTATACATCTTTTCAGGAAACTAAAAAAAAAGTTAAAACACAAGAAATATTCAAGAGTTTACCTGTTTCTCTTACAAACCATCTAAACCCTCCAGCTTTAATATAAGAGCCATACTCTTTTCCCTTGTCTTCTATTCTCTGAAATATAATTCAAGGACAATGATATAGAAAACTTAATCTTCACAGAGCATCAAACATTGCGGGTTAGGTAGGGTTGTGGAAGTGATGAATAAGAAGGAAGATAATGACTGGCTCATTAACAAATAATATTGGAATGAATTCGCTCGTCTATATGTCCATCTGGTATTCAGTTTTACACAACTTGATCTAGTAAAAACTTAATTAAATTAAGTTTCAAAAATAACAACAAATTTGTTCATATTGTTGAATCAACTTCAAGTTTGCAATTTTGAAGAATGTCTCTAGCAATATAGATGGTATGACACCATTGAAATTCTATAAACATTACCTAATCAAGTGAATGCATAAACATCAGAGTTTATGGCACTATTATTGTACGAGTCATGAATTTAAAAAAGCATGGTAGAAAGATCACATTCATCAAATTTGACAAAACTGCTATGAAACACAAAAAATTTACAGTAATAATCAAAAACTACAACCACTCATGAATTTAAAACGGCATGTGATAAGAGATAAAATCACACATCGAATAAAGATGGAAATATAGAGTCACTCGTAAAGTTTTGGGCTACTCCTTGAACAAGATTGACATTTTAAGATAGAACTCCAAGTCTTAATATGGTAAAAGAGCTCATTAAGCTCCGAACAATTCAATCCGATCAAGACTCAGCAAATGAACATACAAATTTCAAGATTGGTCTGCTCAAACGAGCCGTCATCTTACAGGGACAAGTTAAGAGATAAAATTCGAGCCTTGATTACTCCTTTAATAAGGTTACCTTTCAAGACGAAACCCCAAGTATTTATAGCAGCATGGCCAAAAGATCATATTCATCGAATTTGACAAAAGTGCTATGCTTAATAAAAATTGCAGTAATTATTTTTAAATCACATCTAGCTAATCAATCCGAAAATAAACAAAAAAAAAGGAAAAAAATAGAATCAAGCCACAAAAATCCTTGAAACACGTAACTGAAAACTCAAAAGTAAGCTTGGGTAATTACATATAGCATTTGACCAACATTTCCATCCTCAGCAGGGGACTCAGGAAGCTGAATGGCACTTCGACTTGAGGGATTATCAGTTACAAATCCGAACGGATTGAACGCCGGCTTGCCATCTCCTTCTTCGGAAGCCTTGGCAACAATACTGATTGTTGTTCTAAGCCTTTTGTTCGAGAGGAATCTAGTGGTGGTGAAGTGTGATGATGAAGCTGAGGAAAAGATGTGGAGATTGCGAGGAGCCGGAGTGGGAGGAGAAGTGGGGAGAGAGAGTGGCATTGCGGTGGTTGCAGCGGTGCGCTGGCGGTTGGGATATGAGTGAGTGGAGGGAGTTCGAATACTAACGAACACCACTCAACGCCGATACTGAGAATCTATTAATTCTCGTTTATTGCGTAAATTTCTTCTGCGGTCACTAAACTTTCAGAAAAATTCAATTGGGTAACTAAACTTCAGTTTAATTTTAATTGAATCATTAAACTTCTATTTCAATAATTATATGGCATGCCAACATATCACTACATCGCGGTATAGAAATTTAATTAATTATGACATTACTGTTAATTAAGTTATTGCCTAATTGGGGATCATAGGTGATAGAAATATTGTATGGTTATCAACTAAAAACTTGTTTGACACAAATTTTTTGAGTGGAAAATAATTTTTTGAAGAATTTATAATTGAAAAAGTACAAGAAAATTTTGTAAGTCTTATAGAATGTAAGGTTGAAAATTGATTTTAGAGTAGTAGAAAAATTAGTGCCAAACATACCTTAAGTAACTATTTTAATTTTGAGAGACTACAAGTGATTGATAGACAGAGTGATGAACTTTGAAATTAATGTTTGGTTTAAAAATTAGATTTTTAGTATATTTTGATAAAATATGATGAAATGTGTTTAGGGATGCCAACGGAGCGTATAAAGACAATCCAACTATCCCTATATCTTGTCCTATCATATATTTTTGTTACCATACTCCAATCCTATACTAGGTTAAAACAGGATGGAGTGAAATCGAGGCAGGGCAGAAGACGCCCCCGCATATTCTTTTGTTATTTTATTTCATTTTATTTTTTTATATCTTTAGATGGTAAATATTATTTTTTTTCCCTAGTTTGTAAAGAGCAATTCATATTTAAAAAAAAAAAAGAAAAAGAAAAATGAGGATAAATCTTTTTCGTTTTATTTGATAAAAAAAACTTAAATTTCAAATTAACTTTAAAAGTGGAGGGTAGAAGGACGGGTAACATGTTTTCCGTACTTATCCCGTACCTGCTTTCAAACAATGATCCCTGCCTTGTCTCATTCCATTTATTTGACTAGGCAGATAATCACTGGCCCATCGGAGCGGGATCGTGGGTATCAAATTGAACAAATTTTTTGGTCATTCTAAATTTGTGATTGAAAAGTTGTGAATCTCATTAAATTTATTGTTAAAATTAATTGTTGATTTTGATTTGAATTTCAAATCAAATTTTTGGCTGAATCAAATAGGAGCTAAATTAAAATACAATTTTTATTTTTATTTTTGGCGCTTTGTGAAGACGTGGAAAAAGTAAAAGAGGGTGAAAAAATAAAAATAAATAAATAGACTATATATGCTTAACTTGATAACGCCAACTTTGTTGATCGTATTATTGAGTGAACCATTTTTTTTATTTTTTTACACACACACACACACACATATATATATATATATATATATATATAT